CCTCTTAAGATGCAGTTCCGGCTTTAACTGAACATCATCGATACAACAAAGCTACCCAGACAGAAGACACAGGGCACTGCCAGGTTCCCAAAACCAGACGACATAAAATACTTGTATGCAGAGTTCTTAACACTAATGCTGCTGCACTTCCACAGCAATAGCCTCTTGGCTTGAAAAATGTAAAGATTAAGGATAGAGAGTCAGGTAGAAGCAGAGCAACCCCTGATACCCGCCACCGCCTGACCCACTTCCCTCACTGCCGTTCTCCTGAAAGCATCTTTGTCAACAAGGGACATTACACGGGCTGGACAAATCTCAAACGCATAAACTGAATTTACTGGAGACTTCAGTTCAGACACCAGATTCATTGTCTGAAAACCTGTTCGCCTGGGGTTTAATTTGGGGCTAGCCAAGAAAAAGGCCTAAGTCTTAACTTTTAGCTACTCTTAATGTTGTGGTTTAGTTGTTAACGCTTCCCACCACATATCGTTTTCCATACCTGCGGTACTTTTGCGGCGCGGAAGACTGGTACTCTGCAGAGACTGCCCGGTGTTTCACTTGTGCCCTGCTGAAAGCGCGGCACAGACGGCTGAGACATTAGGAACACTGAGAGCCACACGTGTTCTTCAGGATATGCATTTTAATTTCTTCCGAAAGCTTGAACATCAAGCAATGGCAGTGAGCTTACAAACGCTCTTTCAGAGGGAAGTTGCACAGCTATCGTCCGTGTCAAGCATCCATAAGGGGCACTTCAGGGGTTGCTGTTGTTGAAATGGCTGAAGTTCACAGAACAGCTCTGGCGCACATTTGCCAATGTGCCTCTTTAGTAACTTCTCGGGATGACTTTGAAATTGTTGGATCTCAAAGTGTGAAAGTGGTTTAATGTTTCATCCGACTCTCAACTAAACTTAGATCTCCTGTTCATCAACACTGTAAACTTAAGCATAAGCCTCAAAACTTTTCTAAGAGTACACCCTTCCATTAACAGAAGCGAGGGAGCGGATCAGCAGAGAACGCACTCCTCTTAACCTTTACCTTTCATAGCGACCAAAACGCTTGCCATCTACTAAAGTCTCTAAATACTGTTTTATGAAAAAACAAGATAACTTACGTATAAATCGCCCTAAATGCTCGAGGGGGGACACTTGTTTGAAGAAAGCAGCAGAATGCCTTCTGTACCATATACAAGCTATTTTGAGCTTATCAATACAAGTTGCTGTATCTTTTGCAATAAAATTGTCCCAAAGGCAGATGCGGTACCTGTCTTCTTGTACGTGGTTAAAAAATAAACACCAAATATGGTCCATGCCATTTTAGTTTCCAAAACGCAGCTGAGGTTCTTACTAGATTATGGAAGACCTGGCAAGGTCAGTAAAGCCCCAGGTGTTTCAGTGTTATCCTTTTACATGCTCAGCTGAAAAAAAAAAAAAAAAAAAAAAAAAGCCTAAAAGGCAGCAGCAGAGGAATGACCACCAAATTACCTATCAGGGGAATCAGTCATTGAAGCAGAGTCTAATGGCTGAAAGGCATCAGCGTCATACGTGCTCTCCCAGGCCTGGAAAATCACATCTTATTTGGAACCAGGCTTCTTTTGGAAGCTGAAAAAATGAAAGAGTCTCTACAGGCTTTCTAGATGCGGGGCTGAATTGAATCACAGAGGGCCCAGGGTGTCTGGATGCTTGATGCTGGGCTGCTTGGTTTCAGATGCCCGACCAGCGCGGTGGGACCTGCTGCCTGGCTGAGGCAGCCAAAAGAGAAGGGCACCCAAAAAAGGGCTGGACTTGGAGGCAGGCAGGCAGCCAGGGCTGGGAGCCATCTGAACCCAGCCAAAAAGGGGGTGGGTTGTCTGATCGCCCCCTCCCTAGGAAACAAGGGTCTTTGCACTCAGGGGCTGGGTGGTGCCTTACCACAGCTCAGCAATCACAGTGCACGACACCCACCTGGAAACACCAACCCCCGTGCTACGAAAGCCACGGGGGAGCTCTACAGCAGCACCTCTTGCCTCTAACTCCAGCGTGAGCTACTCACATTCCGGGTGACCAACCGAAGTTCAGTTCAATGTTCAACCAGCTCTTCAGAGAGAGGCAACTCAGCCCCCTGCTCCCCAGCACTATCTCACCTTGCAGGTCCAGAGGCGGGACACCCAGCCCTCTGTTGTCACTGCCGCCCTGCGCAGAAGGCATCGCCTCCTGTGTGCGCCCTCTTGCTCCTCAGCTGCTGCCGCTCTGCTGGTTCGGCCAGAGGAAGGTTTCCCAACAGCAGCTGCCAAATTTTGCTTTTCTGACAGGCGGGCAGACCAGCTTCCCCTTCCTCCTTGCATTCCTCCCCCACTGCCGGCTCTCCAGCACGTGAGGGAAAGTGTTCCAGTAACCAGGAAAAGCTCTGGGGTGAAGCATCCAGATGGGACCAACGCAACCTAAACATCCTTAGTGGATTTAACACCCTACCTGTAAACTCCACAGAAAATTATCCACGTTATCTACTTGGCAAGTCAAAGCAAGCAGTAAATATCAGAAATATTACCTAGACACCAAGCACAAAGTCAGTCTTCTGTGGCATACATACCTTAAATCACTTCATGGTTGAACAAAGTCACTCTCTCCCTCTCATTCTTCTCGTTATTTCTTTCTCTGCCCATCAGCAACATTACGGAAGCAACTTGATCCCTTTTCTTTTCCATTCCCATCTCAGTATGAGAAGCCTTAGACAATACCAGGCCATCTACATCTGCTAAGTCACCTACACACTGAAAACATTGCAAGCGTACATCCGCGTAGCTGAGTGCCTCAAATTCCTTAGTCTTTTTTTTCCTTGTTAAAAATTTAAACTGGGGGGGGGGTATGACAGGTTTTAGCACTGCGTCAGCTACATCACACACAGTTAGCTGTCAGTCATACCGAACAGCAAGAGAAGGGTTATCTTCCTTAACACCAGTTTAACCCCTTCTCTGATTTCCAATAAAGACTCCAATAACGCAGTTCAAGAACTCCAACACTCGCTGGTAGAAATGACTTCTTCAGCACAAAGAGAAATGGTAGTTCAAGTTTCACCATATGGCCAAAGAGAACACGCTTGCCTTTCTCACGCCCAAATCTTTATGGGGGCATGTCTTGTTCACAGGCAAACCCAGGAAGGGCCTCCCACATGGGACGGTCATTTGTTCATGAAATCTTCTTTCTCCCTACCTCAGGAACCTTCTACAGACCCCCTCTGGAGGCAGAAGGCTGGAGTGAATGCAACCATCGTGTTGTCTCACAAAGCAATTCCTCCTTTCCTGGGAGGGGGGAAGATGAGCAGGACTAAAGCAGAAGGCTTATTTCACCTACCACAGAGAGGAGATGAGAACTTCTCTTATCCCACCTACAAGCTCGGAAGAAACAGGATGGACTCGCTAACACGTTGTTCTGCTCCGTTCTGTGTAGGTTCCCATACCACCCCCTCAGCAGTGCTGTTCCGAGCATCTTCCCGTGGCAACACAACTACCATCTGTGATGTGTGGTGTGCTCTCCCTCATCCTCTCCCCAAGGGCAGAACCGTGTGCTTAGTTTTATGTTACATGAATGTTCTCCCCAGGAACGTGCTGTGTCTCGCTGCCATCAGCACGCCGCTGATAGATCGGCTCCTGCCCGACAGCACCGCCCCGCAGGTCTGTTCACAGAATCCCAGAATGGCAGGGGTTGGAAGGGACCTTGGGAGATCACCCAGTCCAACCCCCCTGCTAAAGCAGGATCACCCAGAGCAGGTTGCACAGGACATCATCCAGGTGGGGTTTGAATATCTCCAGAGAAGGAGACTCCACAACCCCAGGTTCCTCTCTGCCCAACTCTCCAGCCTGTCCAGGTCCCTCTGAATGGCAGCGCAGCCTTCTGGCGTATCAGCCACTCCTCCCAGTTTTGGGTGATCAGCAAACTTGCTGAGGGTACACTCTGTCCCCTCGTCCAGGTCATTGATGAATAAATAGAACAAGACCGGGCCGAGTACTGAGCCCTGGTGAATTCCACTAGCCACCGGCCTCCAACTGGACTCTGCCCCGCCGATCAGAAACCTTCGTTTGCCCCATGAAGATACCAGGGACTGTGTGCCTAAGCACACGGAAAGGTGCTGGCACCCTACAGGGCCAAGGTGGCAAAGCAGTACCAAACCCACAACAGACGGAGAACAGAAAAACAGAGACAGTGCCGCAAACGGTAACGCTTTGCCCAGCCCAGAAAAGGTTTCACGTGAAGTTACCACACGCCTCCTTGTCCTAAGGCTGAGCGTGCTTCCCCCTCCCAGTACGCACCTCTTGTCATAAACCAGAGAATTATGAACACAAGATGTTGAAAAATAGTATTTATTAGCACCCAATTTACATAATTATATGGTACAAATGACACTTACTTGCTGCTGTAACATTAAATAAAGCTGCTCTTAAAAACCATTGCTTATTTCTGGAAGTCCATGTGATTTTGCTCAGCACAGAACGCAGCATACGGCGGCCCCACTTCACTACTGTCATACCAATACAAATACCTGCATGGTCACCTCAACGTGGCCTCATTTCAAATGGCACACTAACATAAGCAGATCTATACAATTTTAACGGCAAAAATATTTACTTGACTTATTCAGGCAAGTGAATGTAGCTTTAAATATAACCTAGCCAAGAAGGTTCACAAAATAGGAATTGCAG